CCAGAGCTAGGGGGTTGGGGGAGAGGATTCACCAGAGACAGAATGGGGAGCAGAACAGGCAGATGTACTGAAATACACTGCTGAGGGGAGCAGTGGGTGAGATAGGAGAGGTCTATTGGACCACACGGGGCAGCTCCCTGGGATCGAACTCATGCTGCAGTGGCTGGGGATTGCTCGATACAGTCTTTAAACCTTGCACCACCAGGGTGGCACCCTACACAGTGTTTCTTGCTTCTACTGGTGTGAACTCGCAAGAGATAGGTGTAAGGACTGTTGCCTCTGGAAACTGGGTCTGCAGTTGGAAGGAAAACCAACTTCCTTCTGTGTATACCTTTGGATGCTTTGCATTTTTTAAATCATGGGCAAGATTACTTTTAAATTAAGTTAAAGATAACTTAAAGTAAGTGATTTTATAAGAATTTTTAAATCGTTAATGAAACACAGAGCAGGAAACCGATCCTATTGATACTAATTAAAAGAGAACAAGTAGTCACATATTCACCCTGGATGTTTTGAGATTTAACCATTAACCATGGCTTAGCGAATGTTGAATAAATTTCTCTTCAGGTAAAGTTATAATTAACTCCCTCAATTTTACAATGATGGGTTTTGCTATCCTAGTGGGAGAACATAAAGAAAAGTAAAAATAACACTTGCAGTGACAGGATGAAAGGAAAATGAGGATCTAGAGAGCTTCTGAATAGGGTTGGGGTGTGATGGGTAGAGACTGAATAATGAAATAAACACCAATCCCAAAGGGGACTATCTGGGGTGAGTTGCCTGCCTTCTCAGAGAACAAAAATGACTAATAGCTTCCTAAAATATTAAAGGAACTTTCCATGAAGGTTGTTAAATTGACCTACACCTTTATTCGTCAGACACATTTTTATTAGCAGTGGGAGGAGTGGCGTGTATGTGCAAAGCTTTTAAAGTTCATTCCAGCTTTGCAGAGAGAGGAAGAGAACCCCCCTCCACCAAACCCCCACCTTTGCAAAATAGAATGTGGGAGTGTCCACACAGCATTCCTAGGCCCCTCCTTCCCTTAGAGCTTCTTTGCTCCTTTTATGAGACTCTCCCTGTCTTGGAAGCCAGAGACCTCACCACAAATTTGTTTCTCAATGACAGCTCATGAGAAGAGAGCAGAGATGACCCCCCCTCTCATGCATCCAATTCTTGCTTCCAGATTCTGCATCCTGCCTATCTCAAAAAGCTAGAATTGTAGCAGAGATGGCATTTATGCTCGCTCTAGTGGCAGATTTGCAAGCTTGCCAGAGTATGACGGTGACCCTCATCCTCATCCCAAATTTCACCCTACCTCTGCTTAGAAAATGAAATCTCAAGTTTTCCCATGCAGAGAAATTTGATTGCCTTTAAAAACAGTGGACTTCTGTATATATGTTTTACTTCCATTAAATAAACAAACAGTGGGCAAAGCCCTTGCACGATGTTCCACATAAGAAAATGGAGTATTGCCAGTCAGTAAATAGAGGGGGTGCCTACTGTGTGCCAGACTCTGTTCCAGGCCCCGGGGCTCATCACACCCATACTCTGCAGCTTTATCAAATAGTTGACAACCACCTGAGGAATCACAGAGACCCTGTGAGCCTGGCACTGTTGTGTGCCCATATCGTTGAGACCCTTCACATCATGAATCCTCAAAATGTTAGCAGTTTGTTTTTGCTAAAAGAGCACACCTTTTGAAATAGTCATGTCAGGCATGGCTGGGAGGTAGAATACCAGAGGACTAAATGAAGCCAGGATGCAGCTGGGTCACTTACTGGGTCTCTTCCTGTTCTTCACAGAAAGCAGTGTCACACTGTCCAGAAGAAGGCCAACTGGCCAGAATCCAAAATGTTATCCAAGAGCTTCCCCCACCCCATTATAGGTAAGAATCCTTGGTGAAGTAAATTTGCAGCCTCAATGTGGTGTCATACGAAAGAGGCAGGCTGGCTTCATGCAAGGGACACATTTAGTGGATAGTGGCTTTCTTGGGGCATTTTGAAGTGTGTGAACTGGTCATTTTTATCAGAGTGTGTTGTTGCATACTTAGGGACATTGGTGGCAAGGGGTGACCCATGTCCAAGTCACCTGCAGGGCCCCCTCAGTGTCGCACAGGAGGTCATTCCCATCACAGAGGCCAGCCTTGTGCTGCCTGACTTGCTCTTCGCCAGGTTCATGGCGTAGCCAAATCAATGGAAACCAAGATGGTTCTGTAGGTCTTGAGCATGGGGCTGGACTAATATTTGCTTATCAGCATCAACTTTTATATCATCCCATTCTTTCAATTCATTCTCATAATTTAGCTCCCAATTTTTCCCCTTTCTGAGTATTTTTCTAAACCTGCCCATCTTTTAGAACGGGTCCAATTTTAATGTGATGTGAAAAACCTCCTAGCATTAATAGATTTACTTGTCCATGAGCTGCTAACAAATGCCAGGTTACCCTTCACAAATACAAAATGACCCAAAAAGCCACGATAAGAGCCAGTTCTAAGACCCTGTTGAGGCAGTTCTGCTCTGAGAGAAAGAAGGACTGGGTTGTCACCCAGTCTTTGGGGTGCAGTTGCTCCCTGCTTGACAAGATCATTACCTCTTCCACCCTTGACAGCATGCCAAAGGCCAAGAAAATAACTTCCATCCATCTTGATATCTTCCTGGTATTGCTCCAAAATTCACGAGATAAAAATATTTAGTCTCTTGAATCCAAACTTAGAAATTATCTCCAGATGTCAGGCTTCACATTGGCACTGAAGTTTCTTACTTTGTCCAAAATATTTATCTATATGAACCACTACAGGACCTTGAAATACTTGATTCGACACCTGGCCCACATTGCCTCCTTCAGCAGCAAGACCAACATGCACGCCAGGAACCTGGCCCTGGTGTGGGCACCAAACCTCCTCAGGTAACTGCCCCAGTGGGCTGCTTTCAGCAAACACTGGAGTCTTCAAAAGTGAAACCACTTTCAGACCAACCTGTAGTGCAGTGGTCATTAGTAGCAGGTATGACTTAATGGCGATTTTAATACCCTAAGCTCTTTGCCTGCGAACCTGGAACTCTCGGATCCAGGTGTTTTATGGCTGCCACTGAGATGTAGCTAATGTTATGGTCTTTATGTTATGATCTCTTGAAAGGCTTTTATTGTCGTGGAGCTCGCTGGCTTTGTTGGTTTGGGTGGGGTCACAACTCTTGGCAACCTGAATCAGCTGCTTAGTAAATGATGTCTAGCTGCTTAGTAAATGATGTCTTGCCCCACAGAACAGTTGGATGGGATGAAAAGAGATCTAAATTATATATAAATAATACATAATATATAGCCCTATATATTAATTTATAACATTTATGGTATTGCAATGGATAACACCTGGTAATTTTTAAATTGGTTCAATATATTAAACTTTACAACTTTTGGAAAGACCTTGTAATTAATCTTAATGGTTAAAATATTCTACAAATTTCAAACACATTTGTAAGAAAGGCCCACTGGCTCCCACTTGTGCTTTAGGTTGCAGGGATAAGTTGTTCACTGAATGTTTTTCTTCCACAATTTAGGTCCAAAGAAATTGAAGCCTCAGGTTGCAATGGAGATGCAGCTTTTCTTGCAGTCCGGGTCCAGCAGGTGGTGATTGAGTTCATATTGAACCATGTGGATCAGATCTTTAACAGCGGCGCATCCGGGTCTCTGGAGAATGAAGGTACCGGCTTGTCTTGGCATGCATTCCTGCAGCTACCCTTTCATGCCTTAGTCGTGAGACCCAACAATAAGTCAGGATGGTCTTGGCTTTTGCTATGTGTGTGCTGACTACTCTCTGTGCCCAGGTCTGGAGATTGTGCATATGTATGTGTGCAGCTAAGGTGTGTGTTTGCGTGTGGCTTTAGCATGTTACTGAGCAGGTGTATACATAACTCATCCCATGAATATGGTGTGGTGGGATGGAATAATATTGCATGGTTTTTGTAAGTTCTTAAGCTCTTTGAGCTATTATCTAAAGGGACTGGTAACATTCCTTTCTTCAACTATTAGATCTCATCTTTACTTTGAGTATGTTATTTCAGAAGATCCGTTGCTTAACTTCAGTATACTAGACACTATCTTATGTGTTTTAAGGAATTAAAAAAGTCAAGCTATCATGGAGATGATGTATATGGCTGGCACTAAGTGAAAGAAGGCAATCTGAACATGCAGTATATTGTATGATTCCAACTTTAGAATATCTCAGAAGCATTTCTTGAGTGTTTTTCTTTGTTCAGCCCTGCAGCAAGCACTAGGCACACAAAAAATGAGTGTGTATTTTGTTTTTGTGGGCATGTGTATATAGAAACCCACTATAGCCATAGTGGTGAGAAAGAGAAAGCTATTTCTAGCTGGATATTATGAGATAGAAGATCTATTATTTCAGTCCTGTGGCTCTCATAATAACAATTGTTTTTATGTTGCTTGAATTCATATATATCCGACTTGTAAAACCAGAAATCCAATTGATCTAGAAATCTGGTAATTACCATTTGTGTGAAAATGCTTTTCCAACATTGGTTATAGATCAAGATCACCTGTAGGGCTTGTTAAAACCTTGATTATAGAATCTAGTCATCAGTATTTCGCCTGCCTTAAGTAATACTGAGAATCTGCATTGATAGTAAGTTTCCAAGTGATTCTGCTGCTGCTGGGTCCACAGTTGGAGAAGCCATGGCATATAATCTATAAAATACTTGTGTTGGCTAATTGAAACATTATTTTCTAATTTGGCTAATATATATACAAAAATAAAGTATAATCATCAGAATAATCAATTTCAGTTAATCTCAAATTTTGATTCCTGCCATAATTGTTCCCATTCTTATTCTCTGTGACCTTTCTTAAATTTTTTTGTTGTTGAGATAAAGTTCACAGAACCTAAGATTCACCATTTTAATCATGTTGCATGTACAATTCAGTATTTTTAGTCTATTTACACAATGATACAGCCATACCACTATCTAATTCTAGATCATTTTTATCATTCTATAAAAATTCCTTATCCATTATGCAGTCACTCCACATATCCCTCCTGCACCTCAGACTCTGGTAATCATTAGTTGACTTTGGTTTCTATAAATCTGCCACTTCTGAACATCTCATATAAATGGAATCATACAACATGCGGTCTTTTGTGTCTTCTTCCACTTACCATATGTTCTCAATACTTACTCATATCATCACACGTGTCACTACTTCATCCCTTTTCATGGCTGAGTAAAGTTCTATTGTGTGGATGGGATATACTACATTTTGTTTACTCATGATCAGCTGAAGGACATAAATTTTGTTTCCACTTACTGGTTATTGAGAAAAATGCTCCATGAAGATTCATGTATACGTTTTTATGTGAGCATATGTCTTTAGTTGTGTTGGTTATGTATTTAGGGGTGGAGTAGGACTCTCCTACTATAACTGTATTTTTGATTGTAAGCTATAGCAAACCCTTTTTGAGAGCAAATGGAAATAATACACACTCATTCATTTATCCTTTTGAGTCAACTCATAATTTTCTGGGGGCTCACTCCATGCAAGGAACTCTTGCACACACTGCAAAATCACCATCTCACTGACTTACCACAGCAACCATCAGAGTTATCAACTTTATTTTATACACAGAGAAACAGAAAAGCTGTCACTGTGCAGAGTCACACAACTAGCAACTGGTAGGGCTGAGTGCTGTACTTAAATCTTCCAGCTGCCTCTATGAGGAAGAAAAACAGCAAAATAGATAAATATAAGTAAACCACTGTGGAGAATTAATGACTTTGGGAAATGTTTTTCTAGGCACAAAATCCCATCCATGACAATTAGTGTTAGGCTTGTTCCTAACTCCAGCTCTGGAAATGCTTGCCCTCTTCTTGGTCACTGCCCCGGGCATCTTTTGTCCTGTACATAAGCACCCAACTTACTCTTTAGCCTTCAACTCTTCATTGCGTCCAGGAGGTATTATCCAATGCATTTCCATTTAAAAGTTCTTGTCATCAATTTGTACTCATTTTCTTTGGTAATGTACCCTAGTTAATATTTAAACAAAATGAACTATCAGTCTGGGCTTTTAGATTTGGAAACAGGATACTATTTCATACCAGAAAGATTTCAGAACTCACTGAATCTTTAATTGACAAATTTGCAGAACAAGCCAGAGAGACTGTAATAAACCCACCATTCATTAAAACATAAATATGGATGAGGCATGATTCTAGACACAGACTACCTGTGATAACAAATGTCATAAAGTTATTACTCACAAAATGGCAAGACCCTCAAGACAATAAACACCATGAAGAAACTACGGCAGAGTAATGCAATGGCCAGTGACCAGGGAATATGATTTTGGTGCAAAGCAGTTATGGTCTCCGAGGATGGGATCTTTAAATGAGACCTGAATGATAAAAGGAACCAGTCATGGGAAGATCTGCAGGACAAATGTTCCAAACACTGAGAACAGGGAGAATAAAAGCTCTGAGGTGGAAAGGATCTCAGTAATCCAGAGAGCAGGACAGTGAGGCTAGAACTATGTGACCTCCAAAATGGGGTGTCCTACCCTAATACCAAAGATCAGTTCTGAAATATGGAAGAAATTTTAGGATTTTTGTTTGTTTTTATTGTATACTTTGTAATTTCTTTCTTTAAATGATTTATTTACTTATGCATACAGAACTGGGGTACAGGGGATGAGTGGATTCACCAGTGACAGGGTAGAGTGTAGAGTAGGCAGATCGAGCCTGCGGCTTGCTTGCAGTGCTGTGCTTTAACCCATTGCACCACCAGGGAGGGCCATACTTTGTAGATTCTATGATTTTACATATATTTTTAGCTTACACATAATATAGACAATAGTGTGTATATTTAATTTACAAATATACACATTTATAACAGAGTGAAGATTCAAAACATTTTTATTGCATACTGTACACTACACAGGAGACCAGTGAGTTGGTGGGCAAAGAGGAGAGAAAAGTCAAATGGAAGGTCATGCTAAGAGTTGGGTTTGTCCTCAGTGCTGTGGGAAAGCACTGAGCAGGGTCAGTGGGGTGGGGGCTGACTGAAGGATTTGAGCAGGGTCAGGTGGGGTGGGCGCTGGGAAGGATCTAAGCATTCTGGCTGCTGTGTGAAGGAAAGGTTGAAAGGCAGCAAGACTGGAAGCAGAGGGCTAGCTCAGGAGCTGTGGCACAAACCCGATGCGAAGTTGTGGCAGCTTGGACTGGCATGTTAGCGGTGGAGAGGAAGAAAGTGACAGGATCCAGGATAAACTTTAGAGTAGAGTTATAGGTCTTGTTGATGAGAGTGAGGAGACATCAAAGAAAGGAATGACAGTAAGGCTTTGACTTCCAAGCTGAGTGACCTGTGGTGGCATTTACTGACCTGGAGAAGATGAGAGGAAGACCTAGTTTAGAAGTCAAGAGCAGAAATCATTGTTCTGAAATGCAAAACCAGAGATGTCTATTAAACATCTAAGTAGGGATGACGTGCAGGCCTTAGGATACTGGGGCCTGGAACAATGGGGAGCAGCAGATGCTTAAGTTGAGGTCTCCTGACCCTCCAGGAGATTTGTTTAACAGTTGCTTCAGAGTGACTTAATATTATAAGTAAATAAACAACAAAATTGTCAATAACCCAGAATCTTGAGCAAATACAGAGAGTAAATTAAATTTAAATATATTAACCTCTTTTGGATTAAGTCAGCAAACTTGGGTAAAGTCAGAAACTTAGCAAAAAGTTCTCAGGATGACAGATTGACTTCATAGCCATCCTGCTGATTTAGGAATGTTCCAACCTCCCTGGGAACAAGTCAGTGTCACTTACTGTCTCTGTTTTTTACAAGGTCATTTTTTCAGTGGTTTTAGTTTGCTCCACCTGGGAAGGGTCCATGTTCTGTAGAGAAATAATGCCATCAAGGCAAGTTCTGTGCCACATACAATTTCCTGACCTCAGCTAGTCCAGATTATCCTTGAGTCTCCTCACATCTGAAGTCACAGAAAACTGGCAAGGTTGCCAAAGACTAAGATGAAAATTTAGCTCTCTTCTTTTTTTACTTATAAAATCTGGGTTTCTCAATGTTGGACTACCGATAACCTGTGCTACATGATTTTTGTTGTGGATGCTGGCCAGTGCATTGTAGGGTATTTAAGAGCACTCTTGGCTTCTAGCCATTAGAAGTTAAGTGCACTCACATACTTGTGTGTCTGCAGACATTGTCAGATGTCTCTGACTAGGGGTATGTGTGTGTATGTGTGTGCATGCACAAAATCACTCCAAGTTAAGAAGCACTGATTTGGAGAAATGAGATAACCTAGACACCAATGAGCTGTCATCATCACTTCCATTTCTTTAAAAAAAAAAAAAAAGTCCAGGGCTTCCCTGGTGGCTCAATAGTGTTCCTTCAGCAGAGTCTCAGCACTATCAAGCTATCACCAGCCACTGCAACATGAGTTCAATCCCCAGTCAGGGAGGTGACCCACATGGCACAGCAGACCTCTCCGGTCTTGCCTGCTCCTCCCCTCAGCAGTGTATTTCAGTAGATCCACTTGTTCTGCTCGCCATTCTGTCTCTGGTAAATCCTCTTATCCCTCCCCCCCCACCACCACCACCACACCTCTTTCCTACCCCGCAATTCTTGTATGCATAAATAAATAAAAATAAATCTTTTTTTTAAATCCAGAAGGATTGGCTTGCATATACCAGAAGACAACTAGGTCGCAAGTAAAAAGCCATTTATCTTTAAAGAAACAGTATAGGCTGTAAAATGTCTTTTTACTGCAGAGATATAAGCTTACGTGAAGTCTGGAAAGTACAGATAACAACCTTAAAATGCCTTGCTGAATGAGGCTGTCTCTGCGGCTGGACATATGTTCCCACCTGACTAAAGCACTAGGCAAAAAAAGACCCACTAGGAAAAAAGGTAAAAAGACCCACTGCTGTTACACTGGTCCATAGTATCTGTTCAATAAATGTTTGTTGAGTGAGTGGTCTCTCTCTGAAAAGCACAGGAAGTGCAGGTTACCTCCTGCAGCTCTGGGTACCTTCTAGGTTAGCCTGGCCCAGAAGGTGTTCAGTTTCCTGTGTGCAGCCTTCACCCCAGAGCCCACCATGCCCAAGAGAAGCTCCCTGTGAGAAGTTCAAGAGCAGAAATAACGTGGCTACACAGCTCTTCTCTTCTCTTCTCTTTCTAGAGAACCGGCCCATCACGAAGAGCCTGACCTTGCCAGCCCTCTCTCTGCCCATGAAGTTGGTAAGCCTGGAGGAAGCTCAGGCCCGGAGCCTGGCTACTAACCATCCAGCTCGGAAGGAGAGAAGGGAGAACAGCCTGCCTGAGATTGTCCCTCCCATGGGCACTCTTTTTCACACTGTCCTTGAGTTACCAGACAGCAAGTAGGTGACATTCTTTTAAGTTCTGGGAGATGTTTGGGTGAAGGGGGCCAAAGGAGGAAGCAAGTTATCTCAAGGCATGGTGGCAGCTGGGGTCAGGGGTCAGTATAGGTGGGATAAAGGAAACATTCCAGAAGAGCAGGGAACTCTCCCCACCATTCCCCTCACCAGCGATTGATACCTTTGCTCACCAGCCCAAAGTTATTAAGAGCCTGATCCCCCATTTAAGACCCAAGTACTATGATGAGCTGAGGCTTGTAGGGGTTAGGAGTCATGACTAAAATCCCTTACTACTTAGGGATTAGGCTTGACATTTTCAAAAGGAAGTTTGCTAAAAACAAAACCTGGACCTCTACCTCCTAACCCACCCCCATGGGACATCACCAAAAGAGGACAGAGGACAGGGTGACCAATAGTACCATTCTAGCCGGAGTGTCTTGGGCATGCAGCACTGGGAACACACATCCCTGGTTTTCGTTCCTCCAAACCAGGCCTCTCTGTCCTGCAGAACAATCCAAATGTCATTTTCATTCACAGAATACTTTCTTTGCTCATCTTTCCCTTTCAATTCCTCATACCCCTCCATGAAAAGGAGGCAATGATCAAAGCAGGAGCTTGAAATTCTAGGCAGACAGCTGGAGGCGCTGGGTGGCATCTCTCTACTGGAGACATCATCCTTGCTGCTTAGACAGTGAAAGATTGATAAAAACAGGATCCTCAGAACTCTGCCGGAGTCCTGACATGCAGGCTTCCTTTTGGGAAGAGAGGTAGAGTGCTGTCAGGGGTGCCTGTTGCACTGCGGCAGTGGCACAGCTGGAACTCCTTTGGTGAGAAACCCCCCCATTTCCGGGAGTGTATGGAGCACACTGTTGTGGGACTGAAACCACCGCTCCGTCATTTCCACCCAGGGTTCAATAAGAAGAGCACTTTAGGAGGATCATCAAGTACCTTTTCTCTATGCCTTCAGTCACGTCTGGGCTACACCATACTTTGTGATATACCAATTTGCGATATACATGTCAAGGCCACGGGATTCAAATAAAGAGGCCAGATCCCAGAGGAAACCACTGAGCACTATAGAGCTATCTCTGATCATAAAAACACAAGCTTGAGATGAGGGTGCTCTGTGAGAAGTACAAAGAAGGTTCTTTGTGGAACCCACAAGTTGCAAGGTTTTATCCTGGATCTTTATGGAATCCAAGGGCTAGGCCAAGCCAGAGCAGGACAAGGTCCCTGTAGTGACCCCTGGTGGCAGTGGGCGCTTTCCATTCTGGTCTAGCACTCTCCTGTTCTGGCCCCCTGCTGAAATGGCCTGGTACCAGAGCCACTGACTGCCGACTGCCCTCTGCGTTTCTCCTTAATTACTACTGACCACACCCAAGTAGCCTCCAATTCTGCCAGGCCAGAATGTTTTCCAAGTTGCTTTCTCATCTGCCCCTTTTCCATCTATGAAAGTCTTCACAGGTTCTTTCCTGGCCTATGAATGGCTCAGCAGAGTGGCCAGAGTGCAGAGTGCAGTGTTACACTTTTGCAAAAAAGTTGGTGTTGGGCCCTCCCAGGTGGCATAGCAGATTAAAGTGCAGCACGGCAAAGCTAGCTGTAGCTGCTTCAGTTTGAGTTCCATCCCCAGCCTGGGAGGTGATCCACTTGGCACAGCAGACCTCTCCTGACCCGGCCGCTGCTGCCCTCAGCAGTGTATCTTGTTGATCTGCCTGTTCTGTCTGTGGTCCCCACTCTGTCTCTGGTGAATCCTTTCACTGCCCCTGCCCCTCTGGCCTATACCCCAGCTCTGTACGAATAAATAAATAAATCTTTTAAAAATGTTGGTATCTTTGAAAACCCAGGACTACATTTTTTACCAGAATTCCCAGAATTATGTGGTTGCTTATGGCCTGAGTCATCCCCATTGACCTCAACTCTTGCCCCATCCCTGCCTCTGTTTGCCCCCAGATATGCCCCCCCCAATAGCATATTTTTGCCCCTTCTCTGGGGAATATGGCACTTTGCTCTTAGTTGTGGAAGCCTAGTTTGGGCAGCTAGGGCATCCCCAGCCTGGGCGACAGACAGGCTCATCTTGGATTTTAGAGAGAATGTTCTTCAAATGTCAGAGCCACTCATAACTAAGAACATGGTCGAGGTATTCCTTCTCAAGTAGAAAGTCCCAATGAAACAAGCAGCTATCAAACTAATCCCTTGTTGCTTTGTTCTTTTAGAAGAAAGCTCTCCAGTAAATCAAAGAAGTGGAAATCAATATTTAACCTGGGACGTTCTGGATCAGACTCCAAATCAAAGCTGAGTAGAAATGGCAGTGTATTTGTGAGAGGACAGAGGCTATCAGGTAAGAAGCAACAGACTCACTGGGCAGTTTTGAATTTTAGATTTGCAAAAGGGTAGCAAAAAGCATATACAGAGAACCTTAAGCCCTTCACATGCTTCCCTAAATGTTAACATTTTACACAATAGTAATATGACCATCGAAGTTAGAAAATTAATAGACCCTACTCTCTCTCTGCCCAGTAGTCCCACTAATGTCCCTTTCTGGTCCAGCATCCCGCCCAGGATTCCACATTACACCTGGTTGTCTGGGCTCCTTAGTTGCCGCCAACCTAGCAAATCTCTCATGCTGGCCATTTATTCCCTAGAGTCTATCTCTGCCTCTGTCTGATGTCTTCTCATGAGCAGATTGAGGTTATGAGTGTTTTTGCTGTCAGTATCATACAGCTGGTGACGTTAACTTTGAATACTTGCTTGAAGTGCTGTCCACAAGGTTTTGCCCCTGGGAAACCACCGTTTCTTTTTTACAACCATTAAGTATCTTGAGAGCAATATTTGGAGACTATGCAAATATCCTATTGCTCACCATACTTTCACCCATGGATTTCGCACCGATCAGTGTTGCCTGCCTGCCACTGTATTACTGTGATGTTTGCCAGTTGAATGATGGAAACATCATTCTTTCTATATTTATTAATTGGACTCTACTATAAGGAAGTTATGGCACTTCTTCCCCAGTCATGGTCATGATTTTTAAATGAGAATATTGCCCCGTGGAAATTATATCTGAGTATTTATAGCAACTTAATGTTGGAAAGAATTGAGGGAAACACTGCATGATAGGGAATAAAATATTGCAACAGAAAGGGAAACCCCAAAGAAATATGCCACAATGACCTAATGTTACAGCTTGAAAGTATGATTTTTTAAATGGGAAATAGTTATGAAAACAGCTGTGAAAGGTAAATGGACAAATGCAATGAGATAACTTGATTGGATCCTACTTTAGGAAACAAAGGGGAAGAATTTGAGGTGTCATAGCTGGCAAGAAACTCCTGCTATAGTAACAACAGATTTGCTTAAGCATATCAAAAGAGAGAATTTTAGTTACAGAATCAGTGATACAACAAAAGAGGTTCACCAAATAATGAAAAGTAAAAAACAATAGAACAAAGCAAATGAAATAAATGATTTGTCTTGGTCTAAATTTAGGAAGAGCTCCACCCCGTGTGGTTTTCCCCTGGGCTGTAGCTAAAGGAGGTAAACTTTCACCGTGCACAGGATGTTCTTGGCCAGTGCTTCTGAGCAAGGATGTACCATCAAGTCGCCCACAGAGAGCAATTCATACCCACAACAACTTTGCCTCAGGATGTCTGTGGTGAAGTCAGGGTTTTCAAAACTCCCCAGGTGGTATGCAGCCAGAGTTAAAAACCACGGGTCTGAGACCTAAGGAGTATATTAATCATAGATCACCAAACTGGCTGAACACTGATGGAACACAGAAGTGAAATGAATGAACCACCGGTATCAATACAAGTGATTCTCTCTGACCTTGGCTGTTGCTTGAGTGGCTACTTTTCTCTAGAAGAGAAAGCTGGAGTCCTAGACACTGCCAACAGTGGAGGGGACTGACAGTCATAACTGGTGGAACTAGTTGGCCACTGTGCCTGGCTAATCCACAGTTTATCATCATGGCCTCTGTAAGGACACACAGGCTCACTGCTTGTTGAAATATGCAGGCAAAAAACGAAAAGGAATCAATGTATTTGTTTTTTTAAACTTTTTTAAGACTCCTTCACTATATAGATGTAGTAACTGTAATAAAGTAAAAAGGAACATCAACTAACAACTATGAACCAGAGACATTCTACGGGGGAGAAGAGGGAACAGGATCAAAACTGGGGGTGGGGAGAACACATGTGACTATGGTGATGGCACATGGGTGAAATGGTGGTGGGAAGTCCACAGGAATTACAACTGTGATGGAAAAAGGCACAAAAATAAACTATTCGAATATTTAAAAACAAAAAAAAGATTCCACAACTAAGGGCATTTTAAAAATTGGTTCACCAAGAGAGGTCTGTGACCCAGTACTATTAATAATGAATCAATTTTTAAAAGGGCCTTCATTATGGAATTTTTAAAAAGAACTTAAAATTATTTAACACTTTAATTGGGAGGACAGGTAAAAGGATAGTTAGCTATATTTAGAAAACTGAAACCGAAAAAAAGGTAGAAAAAACTGAATGAAGATGCATAAACTCTGAATCTCCCAGATGCTGATGTACTAGAATTTGTTTATGTAAAACAAGAGTCGAGGGAACTCTCCTAAATGAAGGCCTTTGGGCAGGAGAATCCCAAAGCTATTGGGATAATCTAAGAAGAGACTCAGGCCCCAAGGCCCTGGCGCCCTCCCTAACTTCATGAGGTCAGGCCAAGACTGTAGACAGAAAATCAATAATCATGGGCCAAGGAGCCCTGAGCCCTTGATTACTCTCCAGAAAAGTGGCGAACGATTCCTTGGGGACTGCTCCCAAAAGCTACAGCTTTGGGGTGCTGCTATGGCCTACAAGACCCGAGGAGCCATATCATAAGAAAGAGAGCCCAATACTTAAGGCTCGTGGCCCTGCAAACAGAACCATGACCCAATCTCTTTGACACCCACATCACCTGATTGCAGCCCCTAAATGCTGACATGTGAACACCAGAGAATGTTCCAAATGTAACCTCTGGAAGATAAAAGCAAAGCCCGCTCAGTATATGTGAATGAAGTGCTGGCTAGGCAGTTTTAGGCTAATAAACGAGTTTGTAAATGTATGAAAACTGCAGTCCTTCAAAGGAAGGAATACTGACTTGCCAGTGGAAGTAAGAGGTTGAAGAAAACCATTATCTCGGGTTTGAGGGAACATGGCAGTGTCCTCCCAGCCCAGTGGGTCCCAGGTAGGGAGAAGGCCCCAGGCTGGGGAGATCAAAGGCAACTTAAGAGGTTCTCAGAAAGAGTGGGGTTTGAAGCAAGAAGAAAAAAGAGGGGAACTTTAAAACTTCAAGCATGATTTAATGAAATAAGCCAGAAAGAAAAAGTAAAATATCAGATGGGTTCACTCATAGCAGGAGCGTAAAGGACCAGGGTGGGGGGTGGGGGTGCAATGATAATGAACAACTATAAACCAGAGACATTTGGGGGGGTGTGGAGTGGGGAATGGGATCAAAAATGGGGGTGGGAGTGCACTAGACTATGGTGTGGCACATGGGTGATTTGATGATGGGAAGCCCACGGGGATTACAACTGAGATGGAAAAAGGCACATGATGTAAAAAGGAACTATTATAATTTAAAAAAAAAAAACCTTCAAGCATGAGTACGGCCCAGTTTGGGTGAGGACACGCACTGGTGCTCCTTACGACAGCATCTCTGCAGCTGCCCACTGCTGCTGAGCCCGGCCTGCTCTGAATAATAACAATCATACACACGGGTACTTTGCCTGAACATTTACTGGATTCTTGGTACAGATATCTTATGTGTTGCTCATTTAATCCGCACAACAGCTCTATTTTTCTTCATTGTATATGTGAGAAAACCGAAATTTAGAAAGGTTAAACTACTTATCTGAGGTTACACTGCCCCAAAGTAGCAGGAGATTCACATGTATGTGAACCCAGAATTGCTTTAGTGGTTACCTGGGGGTCCAGCTCAGCTCCCAAATTGCCCTCTTCCCCTCTCAACAGGCTTGACCTTGAGGGAATTCCCTTTTTGTGAAAGTACCTAGCACTATGCCTGGAATAATAAGTTTTTATTTATTTAAATAATACACTTCCACAACCTGTTAAGGTGGCTTATGAAAATGGAGAGTATGTCAGACACATGGGAGGGGTAAAAAAAAAAATTGGTTTGGTGAGAGGATCTGTTCCAGGTGAGGTTGGTGGGAGCCACCTATGCAAGCAGAGTTCTGACATGGAACAAAGCTGTGCTTGGGGGGGGGGGGAGGTGGGTCTAGTGCCCTGGGGCCTCTAACCTGTTATCTCAAACTCTTGGGTGCCAAGTTCTGGCTCCTGCAGACAAGGATCCTCCTCCCAAGAAAGCCTGCCATCTAGGAGGGCTTTCTTGGTGCCCCAAGATTCTACGCCATGCACTCATCTTTGAATCCTTTTTAAATAATAAAGCTGGGTTCAAAAATTCCTTGTTGCCAGAAACCAGGTGACAAAATGGCAATTTACCTGTACTGTATCTGTAGTATGTTAAATAAAACTCTGATCTACAGATAGCCTGGTTTTTTTAGATTAGTTTCATAAATAAAGTAAAAATGGGGAAGGGGGGTGTTCCCCAAAGGAGAAGATTATAAATACTTGAAAAATTTATTCTAAAGTTTTTATTTCTAGCCTGACCTTTGTTCTGAACTCTTACTCTCCATATGCATTCATCAGGAATTGTTTTTTCTTTTGTCTCTAGTGGAAAAGGCTACTATCCGGCCAGCAAAAAGCATGGACTCACTGTGCTCAGTTCCTGTGGAAGGTGAGATTTTAATAAGATTCAGAACTGTGTAGTACAACTGCAGTCAGGCTCCCCCTCACCAAGCTTGTCTTCAAAGAAAGCTGTCAGGGCTTCCTGTCTCCACTCATTATCCCACACCATCCACCGGACCCACATGCCTCCCTGATCTTTCCTGAATTCAAGGGCTCACCAGCCCTGCATTCACCTCTCCTACTTTACTGCAGATTGAGGTGTCTTCTTTCTCCAGTTTTCCTCTAACTACAGCAGGAAGTGGCAGCTACTTTACATTCGGACCTAAACCTGGTAAAAGATGAACACCAGAAAACTAAGGTAAAAGAGGCATCTTCCTTGGGCATCAGAAAGAGTCTAGCACTGGTTTAGACCTCAGAGTTTTGAGCCAGTCTTGAACCTGGGTGTTCCCATGGGTGTTAGCTTCCTAGTGTTTATCCAGGTGTGACTGGAGTTGATAATAGCCAAGCGCATATGCACACATTCATTTACTCATCAATAAACAGTGGTCAGTCAGTCCAGGTCAGGATGTGAAAATGACAGCTCATGTCAGAGCTGCTGTGCCTATATTTGCATGCAAGTGGCACCTGACTCCAAAATTATACCCTACTACATCTGTTCCTACAGTGTTGACCTTCAAGCTGACTTGTCTGGACCTCTTGCTTCTACTTTTGTTACACAACCAACAAGCACTGTAACAAGATACAGGGCTCTGTGGCAGCATATTTTATCCCACGCCTTTCTAACTCTTTTAATACAAAACATTTTTTTCTTTGATAAATGAGCCAGCTAGAAACAATGTAGAAGTCTTTAGAAAAACTTTTTAAAAATAATTCTAACCCTGCAAGATACTCAATGAGTTTTTTTTTTAAAAAGTAGACTCAATATTTGTTATATTTTCTCATCCTTATATTCATCCCTTTGTTTTGGTTTTGAAATCCTTGGGTTAGTTCTTGCCTAGTTTTTCAGGATTCAATACTTCAAAATCTAGGTCACCCATCTCCATGGGCGTTGAGCAGGTAATCTTAATGCTTCTGAGTCTCTGTTTCCTCCTGTGTTAAAGAACCTAATCACACTTCCTCTACAGTGATCCTAAGATTTTAAACATCATGTCACATAAATGTCCCAAATCATGCTTAGTCCCTAGTTGGAAATTCTTTTCCAGATTCCTGACAACTCATTTGTCACCTGTCAGCTATCTGACAGAAATTCCTTTTGTTTCTTTCCCCAAACAGATTTTTCTCTTCTTTGCCTTCACTTCTGTCATTCAGGAACTTGCTCTTCAGAATTATATTTCCTGACATTTAGTTAATTTACATTTCTAGTTCCTCATGCTCTGAATCAGCAGGAAGAAGCCTGGGAAAAGAGAAAGGTCTAACTGAGAACAGCATTTGTTTCCCTGCTGGAAAATCAAAACCCAATTTGGATTCATCTGCCAAAGAAGACTTAAAGCATTCAGTTTTATAACAAAATTCTGTTATTTTTCCCTTTTTGTCTTCTTCATTTTGAGCAAACATCATTCTACTAGCTTCCATCTTTTTTTTTTTTTTTCTGTAGATGCTTAGAGGGTGGCAGCTCTATTTAGCAATCTTAGAAGTAGCCTTCTTGGGGCCTCCATGGAGTGCAATGGGTTAAAAGCACAGCTCTATAAACCTGACCGCAGCTGCTTCAGCACGGGTCAAGCCCCAGCCAGGGAGCTGACCCACATGGCGCAGCAGACCTCTCCTGCCTCTCCTGTAGCTCCTCTCAGCAGTGTACTTTGTCAGTCGTCCTGTTCTGCTCCCCACTCTGTCTCTGGTGAATCCTCTCACCACCCCCTGCACCTCTTGGCTGTACCCCAGTTCTGTATGAATAAATAAATAAAATCTTTAATAAAAAAAAAAAGTAGCCTTCTTTTAGTAGCCTGCAAAATTTCAAATGGATACATATGACGCAACAGCAATTGGTCCTATGAAGGCATCATGACAAATTCTGTGCACATGAGAAGATGCTTCCTCCTGCCTGTTAAATGTCACATGCCTGTCTTTTTTAGGTCTCTGTCTCATAGAATGCTAAGCCTTTCTAATTGTCAAGTGTGTGTGCCTGCCCATACTGGCAGGCTGTGAGCTGTGTGACTCCCAGGTTGCTGACCATGTGATTGTTTGCTTTTTCCTTAGGAAAAGAAACAAAAGGAAATTTCAATCGAACAGTCACCACGGGTGGATTTTTTATTCCAGCTGGGAAAATGCACTCAGCCAGCACTGGCAGCTCTTGTGACCTCAGCAAGCAGGAGGTTGAATGGGGTCCACAGGGGGTGCCGGCAGGGGCCGAAGGGGGCATCGACATGAGCAGCGACCGAAGCCAACTCCAGAGCACACAGGCCCGGCCCCCGCCTGAGCAGCTGAAGGTTTTCAGACCCATTGAGGATCCCGAAGGCGAGCAAACAGCCCCAAAGATGCTGGGTATGTTCTACACCTCCAGCGATAGTCCTAGCAAATCTGTATTTGCCAGCAGCCTCTTCCAGATGGAGCCCTCACCCCGTCACCAGCGCAAGGCCTTGAACATCTCTGAGCCCTTTGCTGTGTCTGTGCCACTCCGCGTGTCAGCTGTCATCAGCACCAACAGTACCCCATGCAGAACACCCCCAAAGGAGCTGCAGTCTCTTTCCAGCCTAGAAGAGTTTTCTTTCCAAGGGCCCGAGAGTGGAGGTTGGCCTGAAGAGGAGAAGCCACCAGTAGCTGAGACCTCAGGTAAAGTGAGAGAGAAAGTTTCTCTCCTTTGCAAGAGATAAACACACACACACACACACACACACACACACACACACACACACACACACACACACACACACACCTAGACTGACAATGCAGAGAAGTGGCTGGGTCCAAGAGCCAGGCTCCCTAGGTACAAGTCCAGGCTGTCACTTGTCTGTATAATAGCACCTTCTTCATGTTAGTTGTGAATATTATGTTAATACATGTAAAGCTCCCAGAACAGTATCCAATACAGTACTTAATAAATGTTACTGTAATTTTATTACTCACATCATGAGAGCAAAGGAGGAAAAGCACACAGAATGAAATGCAAAGCTGGAATTGGTGATTCAAATTTCCCAGACTCAATGTCCCTCTGTCCAGTCAGCCTTCACTCCAACCTCCCATCTACAAAGAGAAGGGCTAGCACCCCAAGGGTGAGAAAAATCATCTCTTCCTCAAAGATACTCTTTCTCAAATGCAGTGAGGTCGCTGATTGGACCTCCTTCAGTCACGTGTTCAGCCTTGGACCAAGCATTGCACCAGGGTAATAGGCTTCTAAGACAGGCTAAATCTGACTCTGAGCAATTTCCAGAGTGGGGATGGGTTCTGGGTTCAAAAGTAAACCATGAATCACATAAAATAAAAGTAGAGAAACCTAAACTTAAAGGAAAGGATAGCTGACAAACTACTGAAATAGGAATCTTCCTGCAAAAATTTGTTTTGCCCTGTTATTTTTATAACCAGAAGCAAGCTTATCTCATAAACCAAGGTTTCTACTAGTTAAGGTA